AGAGGTTTTTTGCTATAGGGCACGTGCACTCGCCAGAAAGACAGAGAGACAGAAAGTGAAAAATCACCCCCCAGTGGGGATGGCCATGCCGCAATCCCTTCTCCATTCTCTTCTTGGGATCTTGGGCACACACACACATGTGCCCGGCATGAGTTTAAGCCACCGGGTCCGGGACTCGAACCGTACATGGGAGTCCAGTGACATAGCCATTATGCTAACTGCTGGTCCCAATAAGTCATTATTTTTTTTAAAAAAGAAATATACACAAGGGACATCAAAATGTTCACGGAGGGTGGCCTGTGGTGTGGTGGTTAAGGTGTCTGGATCCCGTAGTCACAATGCAACGTGAGAAATGCACTGGGCACATGTGTGAGCATGCCCAGCGTCCCACCAAGGAGGGAGAAAGGTGGGAGAGGGGATTCGGGTGTAACCGTTCACCATGGAGTGGGCAGAGGCTGCTTTCTCATTTTGTCTTTTCCTCTGTCTCAGTGAGTGCATGTGCCCTCTGGCAAATCAGTTTTTAAAACGTTCATTGAAAAATAAAGTATAAGTTTATTTTTTATGTAAAAAATTTAAAAATGTAGGGTTGGCAGGTGGTGTGGTGGTTAAGGGTGCTGGACTCCCACATGGTCAACTGTGGTTCGAGTCCAGCACCTGGTGGTTTGCTTTCTCACTTTTCTTCTCTCTCTCTTTCTCTCACTCTGTCCCTCTCTAGTCAAATTAAAATAAATCGATAAAGTTAAATAAAATAATTCTTTAAAAAAATTTAAAATGTATGCAGAGTTTTTTCATAATATACACTTTCCATAAAATTTTGAAGACCTTTCATATCTTGTCTCCTGGGTCATTAGTGTTGTGCCATTTAAGCCTCTACAAAAAGAGTATGCATTTAAGGGCCAGCAGGTGACATAGCAGTTAAGGTACTGGACTCCCACAGTTAACCGTGGTTCTGGTCCTGGACCTAGAGGTTTGAAACTCACGCCTGCAGCATGTGCGTGTGTACCCAAAATCTCAAGAGGAGAATGGAGGAGAAGGGATTGCGGCATTGCTGTCCCCTGTGGGGGGGTGACTTTTTGCTTTCTGTCTCTCTTTGTCTCTGGCAAAAATCTCTAAAAATACAAACAAAAGCACAAACAAACAAAAACCAAGTATGTATTTATTCAAATATATAAGCATCTCAAGACCAGGTTTTTTCTTTTTTCTTTTTTTTGTCACAGGTCATGTGTACTCATCAGAAAGACACAGAGGAGAGAAAGGCAGAAAGCACCCTTCTCTCCTGATGAGACGTGATCATGCCTCAGTCCCTTCTTTTTCCTGTCCTGTTGGGATTTTGGGCACCAACTATTATCTGTGCACAGATAGCCAGCCTGTTTTCAAGCTTCCAGGGGCCAGGGTTTGAACTACTGTCAGTAATGTGGGATCGAGCTCCTTTAACCACTAGGCTATGAGGCTTGCTCAGCTTTGATACAACGTTTAGGTCGCCCATTGATAACCTGGTGCCAGCCTACTTGCCTGCCCAGTTGTCCTCTTTCCTTCCCTCTGAAAGATCAAAGTTGGCTTTAAATGATTGAAACAAAAATTGAGAGCTAAAAGAATTATAATTTAAAAATGGATACATTTAGTCAATAAAATGAACGAAAACAAATTTCATTATAGGTGAGGTATCAGAACCTGACTTATAGGCTATTAAATATCTTTTTGTTAAAGGTGAATTCATCTCTAATAATTCTTATTTTATCTAAAAATGATCTCATCAGTGTGCTGGGTATTTCAAAAACCAGTTCAGGCTACCTGTGCATGATAAGTCATAAATAGTCCAGTGAAAACACAAGGGCAATGATGACAAGGAGCTCTATGTATTGGTTTTGCTCACCAGAATCTGACCCAACCCTCCAGGACTCAGAATTATATAACTCACAATAACACACAGATGACAATGTGTGCATCAGTATACAAATGAGACTTTTTCCTGATGTGCATTTTGGTTTTCAGTGTGAGTTTAAGCTCCCGTGTTAACCATACACTGTGGATGAATTGCCTTTTTAGATGTCTACCAAAATACCGTGGGCTGTGTTGTAAGCCCCTAAAATGACTTGCTCTTTCGACATGTAGTAATAGAGAGGACTAATGAAGTCAGTAATAAGCAGGAAGGTTTTGAACTCTTCGTATAACAAAAGGAAACTTGGATGAAAAACCTGAAAGAAGCTAAGCAAGATTATGAGCTAACATTGTGATATGGATGGATGATTTCAAAACCAGAGGGCAAAGAAATCTATGCTGGATTTAAAGAAATGCAATGTTCTTTCATTAGAATCCTAAAGACCACATCTGAGAAAAACTATGACAGGTCAAAACTTTTCCAAGAAAAAGTAGAGGAGGGTGAGAAGCAGTGTGTGTGTGTGTGTGTGTGTGTGTGTATCTTTCCATGTTTTTTAATTCCAAATTTTTGCTTCAATCACTGTATATATATACTATATATATCTATATATAGTATATACATATATGTATACACACACACACACATATATATAATTTCATGTCAGTGGAACAGCTCTAGAGGCTTCTCTATAACCCCAGAAGAAGAGACGTTAAAGGGGGTATAGCAAAGCTGATCCACAAATCTGAAAGAATTTGACAGGCAGAGGAGTGAGAGCAGGTAGATAGATCTTGACTTGCTCTAAGAAGCCAGTTTTGCCTAAACGTGGGAAGAAACTTCTCCACCCAGACATGCTCCCAACAGGATGGGCTGCTCTGCGAACTGGCCGTGCTACACCTTGAGGAGGGGGCTGAAGGACGTGTTGTAGAGGGCGCCCCCTAGCGTGCCTCAAGAATGTCTACTCTGAATTCGTAAAGACTCCTTCGTGTGGCATACCAGCTGGTTTTCAATAGCTTTTAGATGAAGCCACTTTGTATGGGAAAGGATGGGGATCATGCTAGAATGCGTACACTGGATGCCAGGGTGAAAGAGGAAGAGGATGGAGCGACTTTTTCAGAAATGCTTTTGCTATTCATCTCTTCATCCTTACGATCTTGCAGCTCTCTAGTAACCAACTCATTCGTTCATTCACTGCTGTGTTTACTGACTGTTTATTGTGAGCCAAAACACTGAACGTGTGGAGAGGGCGAAGACACCACCCTGACCTGTTACTGAGAGAGACGCATAGTGTGAGCTGGTCTGTCCTGTCTCACAGTGTAGGG